GAGGGACCCTGCTGCTGGTGGTGGTAGAGGCGGAGGAGGAGGAGGATGGGGGGGAGGAGGAACAGCAGGCTTCGATACCACCAGCAGCAGGGTCCCTCTGGCCTCTGCTAGCTTCCCACGTCCCTCACTCTCGGCGCCCCTGGCAAAATAAAGTGTCCCGCAACTGCTTACTTTGCGTAATGCTTGAACCATCCCTGCACAGAATACAAGAGATAATGTTTTTTTCTGTTTTGTTGTAGTGGACAACGGAGGAGAAAACCTGTTCAACAGGTACAATTGTGACTGTCAAAATAGTTGGGGAAGGGGCGCACATTGAATTTGGTTTGGTCTAGTTTGGTGTGGGAAAGTGAGAATGGAGCTGGATGTGGAATGACTGAAGAGAAAGAAGGAGGAGGGAGTAGGTGAAGGTTTAGGAAGGACAATGAACGAAACAGTCAGCTATTACTTGATGTTTTCAAGTTTTAGCTGTTGGTTTTAGTGAAGGTGATTGGGAGAATCTTAGTTTGAACACAGAAACACAAACCCACAAAGAGCAATGGTCCACAATTGGAGCTGAGAGTTTAAAAAAAATCCTAAGATGTAGTTTATTGTAAAGAGCTAAAATGGACTTGGGAGCGCAAGGTTTAATTCTGTGTGAAGAAGCAGAAAAGGACTAACCAACCATTTCCCCTATTTAAAAAAGCTTCAAGCTATTAATAATAATAAAAAAAATCAAGAAACCTAAGATGTTTAATTTAAAATGCGTGATTATATGCTTTTATAAAAATTAGAGATTTTTAGGCTTTTGTTTTCAAGATAAGTGAATTTGTTATCAACCTAAAGGTAAACTGAGTGATTTATAAACAAAATAATTTATTGGTTATATATAGTAACTTACTGGTCAGCTTTTGAATGCTGAAAATAACCACTGAATCTTTGCTATTTCTTAGTAATTATTGAAAATGCAGTCTCATGCAGCATTTCAAAAATGGGAAGTGTTCCCTCTGCAGTTGAGATATACTATTTTGGTGCTTTTGTAATTTGAACAGTCACTGTAACTCTCTTGACAATAGTGTAAAAATGTATGCTGAATATTGACACTATTGTGCAATTCACGACTGCATAGTAAAGACCTATGTTTGGAATTAAAATACAGAACTGTGAAAAAAATAGCTTGAGGCTGTGAAAGCATATTTTACCAAGACAGATCAGAGGAATGTTTGAACATTCCCATTCCATGTTTTGTTCAATATGGTGCTGTAAAAAGGAGTTTTTGAAAGCATAATGTAGAACTAGTGCAATACATTATCTTGATCCTGCTTGGAAAGTTACGATGTTCGGGAATATATATTTTTATAGGTGCTATCAATTGTTTTTCAGCTTGGGGTATTTTAGAAATTGTAATACCCAAAAGTAACCTTTTCTAGCTCTTTTGAGAAATTATGCTAAACTAACACTTTCTCCTGCAGTCTTTAGGTGTTAAGAAATAAATATTTCTTAAGTTTGGAATCCAAATTTATGCGAAAAGTTGATCATCTAAATGACACCGGGATGCCATTTTACAGAAGGTTACCCATATGTCTGCAGCTTCCTTTTTAATGTGGAAAAAATGATTTTTATTCATATTAATGCCTTTAGAGATAAAATCAAATCCTATTTCTGAACAAAAAGTATGGTGCCAAGACTCATCTGTGGCATGTATGATTGCTATTTAGGATAACTTATTACTATGTCTATTTCATCAGATGTGATTTTACAAGCTTGACATCAATCACAATAATATTCCTACTGCAGCTTCTGTAGCATGTGCCAATAAATGTTATGCCACGTACTATCAATCATATTTCAGCATCCCGCAAGCTACAGAATGAATATTAATTTTATTCTTTATTTCCTTCTGTGCAAGCAATATAGCACTACATTCAAACTTTGCACTGCAGCATATGTTTTTCAGATGCAGAACAATCAAGGAAAGTTAAATTTCTTCCCACATTCTGTTTAATATAGATCAAGTCATAAATGAACTCAAAGGTATCCATGCCTAATGTGAACCCCACTGATTTCATTGGGTCTAGACTAGATATGAATAAATGTGTCATATTTATAACTTCTTAAAATTTGCATAAAATTAGGGCTTTTTAGAATTTTATTTCTAAATCTTTAAAAAATATTTTAAAAACATATATGTATGAATACATAGAACTCAGGACGGTTGTCTTAAATTATGTTGTAACGCCAAAGTATATGTGTTTCTTTGGCATGATTTGAGGGCTTTTTTGGTGGGGGGGGGGGTTGCCTTTGACTGAGTGAATGTGTCATGAATGACTTTTCAATAACTTTAAAGCATAGGTTCTTTTTATTGAAATTTCCAGTGTGAGAGGGTACATCAGATTACAGAAAAACATTTAGACAAAAAATGACATTGGACGTACAAACATACAGATTCTATGCAACTACAATGGATTTACAATTACATGGCTAACAAATAAACAAAGGGAAATTACATTTTTACTCAGCATTCACACCACATGTACACACATTCATCCTCAGGCATTCAAATATTACCATATCATTTTCTCCCTCCTTGGAGAAGCACCTGTTAGGCCAGACACTGCTTTCCTGCAGCCCTTCCAATGCATAGTTCCATAACGCCAAAACTTCAAAATGTTGAAATGCCAAAGCTTCTTTCCCTAAGAACAATGCGAAAGACCAGATCTCTGTTTTCCATACAGCAGAACCTGACTCCCTGCACAAAATCTAAGACTCCAAAAGCACACTTCTTCCTCTTTCCTTGAGAAAGAAGCCCCAAAGTGTCCAGAATGCTTTCCCATAGCATATCTGACACTCTCCGAATACACCATCTCTCTCCTTCCCATGGAGCAGAGCATGGTGGGTGGAACAGATTCCTCAGGACTGCCACACTTTGAGCATTATTAGATTGAGTCTTTTATAGGAATATTCTGCTGATGTAGTCCCAAAGTTGTAAATTAATGATAGACATCTTCCATCCTGGATCCATCTCAGTTTCCTGGCCAGATGTTGATCTTCTTGATTGGTGTTGATCTTATGTTGACTTCCTTCTTGACATTTTAAACATTTCTTTATCACTGTCCCAGTTATTATCAGAGTTTACTTTTCAGTTCTTATTAGCAACTTTTAATTACAGCCCAGCAACCAGGTAGTCAGTCATTGCAGGCCTTAATATTATACTGGTGTCTCCAAAATTATTAGCTCCATCCATAGATTCATCTTCCATTCTTCTATTCATTCCCACACATCATATTAAATTCACATTTATCAAATCTGCACATTGAATGTCTTATTGCAGTGTGACTTGCCCATGAGCCACCTAGTAGGTCACCATAAGATCATAAACTTGAAAGCACACAACAGTAATGTGTGACATGCCAGCTCATATACTTTGCACTACCATATAATTGAAGTCAGTCCTGTCAATGCTTTATGTATACAGTTGCAAATGGTTTTTAAAAAGATGTGGGGGGGGGGGGGGGATCTAAAAAGAAAATCTATGCAGATTTACTCATATCTAATTCTGGATCTGATGAAATTAGTGGCTCACAATAATCATTGTGCCATGTGTGAGTTGGGGCCTTTTACCCTAGCACTTAAGACCTGACTTTTTACTAGAGCTTTTTATCTATGATAATTTTATCAATATCTGTATGTATGTATGTATTTTTATACTTTACAATTTAGCTTGTAAATCGCCTAGAGCATCTTGGATGGAGGGCGATTAATAAGTAATTAGATGATGATGATGATGATGATGATTGCCTTTAATTTCATCCGTGACTACATTTGTATCAAATAGAATGTAGAATTGTTGTGTAATTTTATTACACAACAATTTAATATGCATTATAGGCACTGTAATTTCTGAAGAGAATAAGAAGAAGAAAATGCACCATATTTTAATATATTGACTTGTAACAAAACCAGTAATCATGGTTTTCTAGCTTGCATGAAATTGAAAACTCTGGCTAATTAGAGGCTTCCAAATTCTACAAAATTCCATTTTTAGAAAAGGGAATAGGAACAAATGAATGTGCACAAAGGGATAAAAAACACTCATATATTTGCTTATTGTCCTAAGATGTGGTCATATCAAATTTCATCACATAATAGTTGCCATTGCATAGTAAATGCACTCCACTCTTGAAGGTCCCAGTTTTAGTATTTAAGAATTCCTCACATAATAGTCGCAACCTTAGTTCATGGGTGTGACTATTATGTGAAGGGACAGCACCCACTCAATCTTCTCTTCCCCCCGGATTGGCTCTCTCCTCTAAGCTACAGTGGGTTACGAAGGCAGCCCTCCAGGGCTTGGAAAGGAGAGCTAATCTGGCTAGAAAACCCGTTCTCCTGAATCGCTTCTTCTGAAGGTAGACCTCTGGAGCTCAGAGGGGAGAGGTGCATGGGTAGGTGAGCCTTCACCTGCCCATGTGCCTGCCAGCAAAAACTGCAGGGCATCCCTCAGCTGACGGCAACCAAGGAAGGGCTTGTAGCTCTCGCTTGCAGACACGTGGGTGAATTTGCAGCTACAGGGTTCCCCTCGGGTGGCAAAAAATGATTTTTCTTGCATAATAGTTGTACCCCTTCCTCTCTCTCTTTTTTTTTTTTTTAAAAAAAGCTTATTTTAATATCTTGACTTGTAACAAAACTAATAACCATAATGTTCTAGATTGCATGAAATTGAAAACCCTGGCAAATTAAAGGCTTCCAAATTTGATTGCCAATTCTACAAAAGGGAATAGGAATCAATGAATGGGAGGAGTAAAATCGACTATTATGCAATTTTATTTTATTTTTGTCGTGTCAGGAGTGACTCCTGGTGTGAGAGAATTGGCCGTCTGCAAGGACGTTGCCCAGGGAACGCCCGGATGATTTTGATGTTTATCATCCTTGTGGGAGGCTTCTCTCATGTCCCCGCATGAGGAGCTGGAGCTGATAGAGGGAGCTCATCTGCCTCTCCCTGGATTCGAACCTGCGACCTGTCGGTCTTCAGTCCTGCCGGCACAGGGCTTTAACCTACTGCACAATGAAATACGGTATTTAGTAACTGTGTGTTAGCTATCTTCCGAAGTTATGTTCTGTTCTCCTAGTGATGCAGCTTTGAAATATGGAGGCCAGATGGTCCACTGTACAAGACGTTTTGAAGTCCTGTACAGAGGCATGCGTGAGATGAATTGCAAAAGTCAAAAACACAGTCCAGTCTGATCTTGTTCCATATAACATAATCAAAAACCATCTTGTTCTAATATAATGTGTTCCGCTTTTGCTAAACTGTTCTGCTGAGGGGAAGGAGGTTGTGTCCCGAACATAACTTTTTTGCTTTTTTCCCTAAAATCCTGAGTTGAAAATTTCTATCTCTAAAGCTGTGTTTATTTCATTGTTTTATACTAGATGTATTCCCCACAAAAGACCACATGTGCAAGGTTTGTAAACCATCAGATTAAATTGTTTTTTTTACATTCAAAATTCACTCCCTCCTAATAAAAATGTGTCCAGTTTATTTAATGGCCTTTTCCTGTATTGCTTTAAACTGGAATATTTTGGTTGAAGAGTTAGCTCCATTCATCCCATGTTCCCTATTTCTTTCTCCACCCTTAAAAAAGCATTTGGACATATTTGGTGTAGTCTTTGTTTAGCGGGATAGCGGATTGTCCCTCTCTCTTTTTTAAAAAAACATCCTTTAATACAGTGGTTCTCAACCTGGGGTCCCCAGATGTTTTTGGTCTGCAACTCCCAGAAATCCCAGCCAGTTTACCAGCTGTTAGGATTTCTGGGAGTTGAAGGCCAAAAACATCTGGGGACCCCAAGTTGAGAACCACTGCTTTAATAAATCCCAACTGTATCCATGTGGACCATAAGTTTGCAAGACCATAAGTTGCTTTTATTTTTCACACATATCTTTTTAGCTCAAAACTGTAATATAACCAACTAAAAACTTTGGCAGGTATCCGGAATGAGAAAGCAAAGATAAATGTTGGCTTTAAAACATTAAATTCCTTGTTGCTGAAGGAAAGCAGATGCTTTCATTAATGTTTTGGAGGAAAAACAGTCCAAATGTAGAACAAATGTCTTCAGTCGAGTTTCTGCATTTTACATACACATTCTCTCTCTCTGGATGTATAAAATAAGGATTATGGCACATTATAAACAAAATAGCATAGACATTTCTACCCAAACGCAGAAAGTTTTTGTTCAGAAACAAGATTTTTTTTGTGTCCGAAAGACTTAGCTGTATTAATTACTAGATGTTGATTCTAACTTGAATGCCTTTTGACATAGGTTAATTGTTGTATTTTGAAGAGTCTTGAGTTGGACAAAGCTTTCCTCTGCAGATGTTTACATGTGAGAATAATTAAATATATATATATACTTCACAATTGTTTCTGGACTACAAATGACGTTACACCCTCACAATTGGCTAAGGTGATGGGGATTGTAGTGGAAAAATATCTGGAATGCTACATGGCCATTTCTGATTTAGGTCTTTCTGCCATTTTGGCCAGCTTGCATTTCTTGAAGCAAATCATAGAATTCATCCAATGCCTTATGAATAAAGAATGAATGTATTTTCCTGTATGGCAGGAGGTAGGACTGGATGGCCCTTGTGGTCTCTTCCAGTTCTGTGAGAAGGAGAAGACAAGATGCCAACATTGTGATGAAAAAATTCTGATAATCATTAATCATTTCAACATATACATCCTCTGCTGACAATGTCTAATCAACAGACTCTTCCCTTGATTACTTAATCCAGTTAATTGACCACAGATAGAAAACCTTTTAATAGAACTCCCTCACCAGGGATGGGTTTATTCCTGTACATATTCTGGATTGCTACCATTGATCAAGCTGTAAGAGTGAGTGGTTGAGGAAGAGGAGGGCCAACCAAGGCTGCCAAATTCGGATCTGTTTTCCTTTCTCTTGATTGTTCTTTTATTCTTTTAGCTGCCCACCCTTCATACATAAATTATTCAGTAGCACTTGCTGTCACAAATAGTAAGCAGTGCATGATTTACAGGATGTGTTTAAAAAGTGGTACTGTTGGGACTTTCCATGTTCATTTATTAATTTTATTCAGCTGTATTTCTCATGATATATATAGTAGGGCTGTGCGATCGATGATAAAAATGTTTCAAAACTCATTACAAAATTAGGGAACATTGGCATTTTGTTTCTAAAGTGTTTCTAAAGTATCATTAGTGAAAATTTTGTTACTTTTTCATTATAGTAATTGCGTAAGTGAGGAAACTTCAGGGGCTCTTTTCTCCCTTATTTTTACAGCTATTAAGGTGAAAATTGCTACAATGGCAGAACCTATGTACCACTGTTAGCCAATCAACTTTCAGAACATTTCACTCATCCATGGATTTTTGGGGAATATTCATTTTTTTTAAAAAAAAACCAATATATTTAATAACTGCAAGAGCAATCTCTTTGAATTTTCTGTACAATGACACAAGATAACGAGATCATTCACCTCAACTTTCAGAAATAGTCATGCACCTACTGATTCAGGTTTTTTTTTAAGTTTTGGCAAAAATGTGTTTTTTTTAAAAAAAAAAGCCACAAGATCTATCTCATTGAATGTCTGTCATATTAACCAATAGAACTTCCATTTAGGGATTTCTTCCCAGCCCAGCACAGTCAGTCCTCTTCTTTGCAGATTCAACCATTTATTGGAACTCTGGCTGGCTGCTGCTTCAGAAGGACAAATCTTTCCCCTATCCTCATTGGGGCTTTCTGATGTTGAGCAGAATTCTGGGAAATGTCGTTTAGGGCAGGGCATTTTGAATTCTCTGCCATACGGCTCTTCAACTTCCCATACTACATTTCCCAGAATTCTGTGCTTTTTCAGACTCTTTCCCAGCAACCTCTGCTTTCTTCCTGCTGCTTACCTCTCCTAATGTTGAGAGGCCATTAGTTTAAAGAGGAAAGGCAGCTTTTTTGGCTTGGCTTTGCCTGCTTGTGCTGAAAATGAAGCTGACTTTGGGAAGCTTCAGAGGTTTACAATATTCAAACCAAAAAGTATTGGGTAAGTTTCGATTCTTAAGTTTCTGGCACAGACCACACCCACATGTCAGATATCGTGTCATAAGTACAAATGTAATGAATTTGATCTGACTTACAAGGACTAACGATAATTTTGCACAGCCTAATATTTAGTTTAGTATTCAGGACAGTTTGCTAATCAAAACATCACAGTGCTATGAAAACCATTGTTTAATGATGGAGGCACTGCATCAAACTGTTTAGCAGTTTAAAATAAAAAGGTCACCGTTTCATTCAAACTATCACTACATGCATTTCACAAGTTTGTGTTCAATCTTCTTTCTTGTTCTTTAGTTAATATGTCATTAAATTGATTAGGTTCTTCAAGGCAGAAAGAGAATTAGCTCTTCTCTCCTATGATACATGGTGTGCAGATGATCTGTTGTGTTTATTCCAATGGCATCACTAGAGTTGTTGTCACCCACTACAGCAGCGGTTCTCAACCTGGGGGTCGCAACCCCCAGGGGGTCGCAACCCCAGGGGGTCGCTGGGCCATTTTCTGGGGGTTGGCTCCGCCCCCTCCACTTCCTCAAAATGGCTGCTGGCCCCTGTGCCAGGGAAACAGCCAGGCTTTCCAGTTCAGCTCCTCCACCTTGTGCGAGGCCTCCCTCGCCTAGATTGCGCTCCCGCCGGCTGTCAGGAACGCGGGTCAGGCGATGGCTGTCCTCGTGCAAGGCCTTGCCTTGTGCGAGGCCTCCCTCGCCTAGATTGCGCTCCCGCCAGCTGGCAGCAAGAGGCTCCATGTAAGGCCAGGCCGCGTGGGAGATCCTCCTGTGCCCGGCTCTCACCCCCTGCCGGGCTTGCCAAAGGCACGAGCCTTCCTGCCAGATCTGTGCCCAGACTCCAAAATGCACCAAGCAACAGCAACTCCCAATTGTCAAGGTATGTATATTTTCCCCAAACTTCTCCAGTATTTTATGTTGGTCATGGGAGTTCTGTATGCCAGGTTTGGATCAATTCCATGATTGTTGGGAGTTCAGAATGCTCTTTAATGACAGTGGAACTATATTCCCAAGCAACTGCAACTCCCAAATGTCAGGGTCTATTTTCCCCAAATGTGTCCAGTATTTTCTGTTGGTCATGAGAGTCTTGTATGCCAAGTTTAGTTCAATTCAATTGTTGGTGAAGTTCAGAATGCTCTTTGATGGCGGGTGAACTATACATCCAAGCAACTGCAACTCCCAAATGTCAGGGTCCCCCAAACTCCACCAGTGTTCAAATTTGGGCATATTGAGTATTTTGTGCCATGTTTGGTCCAGATCCATAGTTGTTTGGCTTCACAATGCTCTCCAGATGTAGGTGAACTACATCTCCCTAAATCACTGTCAATTCCTCCCAAACCCCTCCAGTATTTTTTGTTTGACATGGGAGTTCTGTGTGGAGGTCTTAGTGGTCTGTGGAAGTCAGAGCTGAATTGGTTGAAGGTACTGCAAATCCCATCATCTGTTTTCCATACTCCCCCAAACATATTTTTTCTGATTAATCACGATGCTTTAATTATGTTGAATTTGTAACAATGAAAACACATCCTGCATATCACATATTTACATTATGATTCGTAACAGTAGCAAAATTACAGTTATAAAGGAAGCATATTTAGGGGTCATGGTGTTAGAAAGGTTGAGAACCACTGCACTCTGCAGTAACTCAATAGTGTATCCCCAGACCAGACCACAATATTATAGCTAAAAAAACCCCAGAAAATTTGACACAGTGACTATTTTAAAAAACAGCAACAATAGTATATTTATAGTATAGAAAATAAAACCATATGATTTCTTGTGTCCTTGTAACTGAGTGAAAATAACAGCTCTGACTAGAGCATGTGCATAGTGGAAGGTTCAAAAAGAAAATTAGCAATTTTTAGCTGTGACACGTGCAAGCTGGGCTGTTTTATGGTTATATCTAACTATAGGGATATTGTATTAGCACAATCCCCCATGGTATGGTTCAGACCCCATGCATTCCCCCAGTGATGCCACTGGTTTATTCCAATTCACACAGACCTCCATTCTGTTTGTTTTCAGTCTCATACCATGGCAACACTTTCTAGTGGTGACATAGAGCAAATTGGAAAAAGTGGATATGGAACAGTGTCTTGCTTTACTGTGTCAAATACTTAGTGAATCCCTTAGTATATGAAATATGGTATGCCCAGTTCACACCAGAGGTCTTTAGGTGGGCACATTTCATTACTAGGGTGACATTTTAGCTCAAACAGAAGGATAATGGAAATGATATAACAAACCAATACCTTCCTCTCTTCCAACCTATGTAACAATGCCCACCGTATCCTATTGGCTGGCATCCAGCCTATCATGAGCCATATTTTCACTCACTAGCAATGATATAAAAAGGCTCAGGGAAATGTGCAGAGGTTTGTATTTTTTCTGCCAGCCCTTCAAGCAATTGCTTAATCTGTAAGACCAGGGAGAAATTCAAGAGAAGAAAAGAGAACAGAACAACGGGTGTTTTAAAAAAATACGGGAGCAAAGAAACAGAGTGAAAAGACAGGCAAGCCTTTTCCCCAATGAGCTGAGACTTGTGGAAAGCAAGACAAACAACTGAAGATATTGACCACCACCACCACCCCCTCCCCCAGAAAAAGGGGCTGTTGGCAGGGTTCCAAAGTGGACGAAGACATGTGTGACAGTCAGTCTGACACGGAGAGCTCTGATGAACCTGAGCCATCTTGCCGAGCCAAGAGGGCAAAAACCTCACGTTCTTGCCGGGCTGGATTGATTTTTCCCGTGAGCCGTATTCATAGGTTCCTCCGGAGAGGAGACTATGCCGAGCGCATTGGATCAGGAGCATCCGTTTACATGGCTGCTGTGCTTCAGTACCTGACGTACGATATTGTTGATATTGCTGGGAATATTGCCTCAGGTGATGAGAAACGTCGAATTGTCCCTGAACACTTACAGCAAGCCATCAGCAATGACACCGAACTCCACTCTCTCTTGGGAGGCATCTCCTTTCCCAATGTGAAAGATGTGCCCAAGAATGATCCTGCCCCATCAGCCAAGGGGAGCAAGAAACCCAACAAAGCTGTAAAAGCTCCAAATGAGGTTGCCACATAAACAAAGGTGCTTCTGTTTTTCTGCGCTTCGAATGAAGTCTTTTTAATATCCAGCCTTGCTGTCTAATAAAAGCTGCTCTGAAGATGAGTTCTCTGTTGTGTGAATGTATTTGTTTCCACACAGCTTTCAGATGGGATATTTTATTTGAGGTGATACTAATTCTGAGTCGCCTCCGGGCTGATATGGGCAGGATAGAAATAACGTAAATAAATAATAATTAAATAATTATAAGACATTTTTACAGAAATGAAAAGCTCCATATTTTATATGGTGAAAAACCATTCAGTAAGCATCATTTTGACATTTTCAGGTATTGTGTTTTCCCCGAGTTGTAACTAATGTCCAGCATCATCTAATTCCTTTCCCACACTGATGTTTATTGATTCTCTGTGACAATAATACTATTCTTTGTCTTCCATGTTTTGTTGCCATTTCGAGCCACAATGATAAAACATGTTGTCTTTCAAGCAATAGATCATGGGAGTTTGGCAGATATTACAGTCAATTGCATAGGTTAGCTAAGGGAATCTGTTTCTTTTCACTGTTTTTATAGTATAGTGATAAAGTCGAGTCAAAGGGTCTGAAAATGTTATGCAGAAGTCAACATTTTCCTCTAATAATGAATGTTTGATTAGGACTATGTTGGTGTAAGCAGTGGCTAAAGGTGTGCCTGATCTGTCTTCTATGTAAAGTCAAGTTCAGTTATTGCCAGAATGTTCTTTCCTTTGTGCCAAGGTTCCACAGAATCACAGAAACTTCTGCCCTGACATCTGTGCTTGAGAGAGCATTATTTAACCCTAAATTTCTTCATTCTTCCTGGATTAAGCTAGTAGGCACTGGACATGCTGCACTAAGACTTTAAGCTGAAGAGTGGCATTTTTAAAAATGGAATTAAATGGTCCATCTGTTCTATTAGTGGACCGTCTGTTTTTTCTTATATTTGAATGATGAAAATGCAAGACATTGTGCCAAGGCACTGAGCAGTGTGAAAAGCCTCACAGCGTTTGGATGGTTTCCAAGAAGTAGATGTTTTGAAAGAGTTAATAAGAAACTACTTGGAATAGGCTTCTTTTCACTGTTTTTACAGTATAGTGATAAAGTCGAGTGTGTCTTGTTCTTCAGCTTTTCAAGTCCTACTTTCTTTTTGTTAGTGTTCCTGGGGGTGGAAAGCCGCTGAGATAGATCTTGAATTGGGACCAAATGAGGTCTTGAACCTGCTTTTACAAGTTAGCCTAATGTGAGATAGAATCATAGAGTTGGAAGAGACCTCGTGGGCCATCCAGTCCAACTCCCTGCAAAGAAACAGGAAAATTGCATTCAAAGCACCCCTGACAGATGGCCATCCAGCCTCTGTTTAAAAGCCTCCAAAGAAGGAGCCTCCACCACACTCCAGGGCAGAGATTTCCACAGCTGAACAGCTCTCACATCAGGAAGTTCTTCCTAATGTTCAGATGTAATATCCTTTCTTGTAGTTTGAAGCCATTGTTCTGTGTCCTAGTCTCCAGGGCAGCAGAAAACAAGTTTATTCCCTCCTCCCTATGACTTCCTCTCACATATTTATAAAAGGTTATCATGTCTCCTCTCAGCCTTCCCTACTTCAGACTAAACATGCCCAGCTCTTTAAGCCGCTCCTCATAGCGCTTGTTCTCCGATCATTGATCATTTTAGTCACCCTCCTCTGGACACATTCCAGCTTGTCAACATCTCCCTTCAATTGTGGTGCCCAAATTGGACACAGTATTCCAGGTGTGGTCTAACCAAGGCAGAATACAGGGGTAGCATGACTTTCCTGGATCTAAACACTATACTCCTATTTATGCAGGCCAAAATCCCATTGGCTTTTTTAGCTGCAGCATCACATTGTTGGCTCTTTGAGTCCCCCTAGGGGTGAGAAAAGTGGTATATAAATGCTGTAAATAATAAATAATCATGTTTAACTTGTTGTCCACAAGGATTCCAAGATCTTTTTTCACACATGCTGCTCTCGAGCCATGCGTCCCCATTCTGTATCTTTGCATTTCATTTTTTCTGCCTAAGTGCAGTATCTTGCACATGTCCCTGTTGAACTTCATTTTTTTCTTCATGGTGTCTGTAAATACACACATGTGGAGTTACTGCGCCTGCGCAGGACTCAGCGGAAACTTCTCAAGCTATGTTTTTGAATTTTGGCGGTATGCCCGCCCACTCCTCCCAAGGGTATAAAGGGCCCCCTGGCCGTACGCTTCCCAGTTCGCTTTTTTCCACCGTGGCTGCGACTTCGGAGCTTCTTACAAGTCATATCAATGGCATCCTTTTCAATTGGGACCCATGCCTTTTCAGTCTTCTGACAACATCCCACCTCAATGCAGTTGCTTCCCTAGCAGTCATTCACCCTTTTCATGGCATTGGAGCCATTCATCTTGGCCCGGCTAGAGACTGGCCAAAAAACCGCGCCATATTCCAGCCTCTCCTCCGCTTTGGGAGGGGCTGTTGCTGAAGACCACTGCCGCCCCAATACTCAATCGGCACCCGGCTGAATCCAAAAGGTTTTCAAACCTAAAGCGGTACCTTCTGATTGGAGTTAAAAGAGCTCTAACAGCCCAAGCCTCTGTTTCTGAGGATTGGCAGCCCTTGGGATATCAGACTTCTCCCCTTACTGTCTGCATTGGCCACCTCCCAAGCGGGAAGATCCTCCGGTTGCCCTCCTCGACCATGGAAGGGCTCTATTCACTGGCGCCAGGGCGTATGGATAATAAGAAAGGGGACAAAAAGGACTTCACCCATTTGAGCCTAATAACATGGCAAGACTAAAGCTGTGGATCCATTCTCGACCCATCTGCCCTTCAAAATTCCTGCCCTTTAGGCGCTTGATCACCTTCGTTTGTCTCTAGCGCCTCTCTTCCTGACGGGCTACCCTGTCCCTCCAAGGGAACTGCTTATTCTCCTTTAGGGGCACTATTGTTGTTTGACGCCGCGATACTGCTCCTGGCAGCTTAACTTGCTCGCTTAACATGTGCTCTTCCCAGCCATCCCTGCGTCAGCTATGATACCCTTTGAGGTCGAGAGTGCTTAGGTATCGACTGTAGACTCCGACATGACAGCGAGCCCCATTACTCCCATCTTGCCATTTCTGTGCCCTCACGCCTCAGTGCCATGGCAGCTGTCCTCATTCCTGCCACATTTCCACATGCTGAGAGACTAACGGCCTTAACTCTGCCTTTCTCCTTTGACCACTATTTCCGGAGGCCTTAGGGCTTAATGCCCCCACAGGGCCCTCACCCCTCGCAATGGGCTTCGTTTCTCCAAAAAAAGGGGGGGGAAGCTCGCTACGGAGCTGGACCCCAGCAGCAACCTTGATAAACCAATCTTAAATAAGGAATTTGGATTTGATTAAAACTCCGTCTTGATCATGTCTCCCTGGTCAGCCACGCTACCTCTGGTTGAGCCTTACGTGTATGTTTCTCCACATGCCAAGTCCACAACATGGAGCTTTTTACCATGGGTCATCATTAAAGGCCAAGTCAAATCACCAGATTGTCCAATGGGCCAAAATATGAGCCCTCACTGAACCCAAGGGACAGGCTGCTAGCCTGTTCTCTGCAGTGCCAGCCAAGTTTTTTACAACTCCTTGACACCATACTAACCTGTCGGTATCGACCACCCAGCCAAGCATCGTCATAGCCAATCACTAGGGATCCGCTATGATCGCCCCCACCCTACCCCTCCGAAGGCTTGACAAAGGTGCAATTGGCCATCTTTATTAGTGTTGGATACAGCCTTGCAGCTTCAAAGCCTGCCTGCTTCCTGCCTGGAAAGTTCCTTTGTTGAGAGGTGGTAGTTGGTCTTGATTGTTTACTACTCTGATTTTAGAGTTTTTAAAATTACTCCTAAGACTCCTTGTCTTCTGATCTAGACTCTTCCTTCTTTCAATTGGAAGAGCTACAGAGCTGGTCTACTCAAAAGGTTGTTTCTCTCATGACTTGAGACACACCTCACTCTCTTCTCTCCATACCGTGAAGAGTCGGTCTTGACCCTACTCTTACATTACTACTAGACACTAAAGGATCTCTCCCTCCCACCATGAACACAGTTCAGATGGATACGCCCTTGCCTCCAGCATGAGGCTTTACCACCCTTTTCCCAAGCGAAATTCTTCATTTTGTGGCCTATCCTTCCTACTTCAAGTGCTTTGAGTGCCTCTCACCCTCGAAGCAACCCTCTTTTTTTCCCAATGGCTATTGCTTCCACTCCGATGGCCTTCCATCAAGCTGATGTCTCAACGGTGCACTATATGACCTCTGTGGTGGCCCTCCGTAAGGGTCAATGGATTTTCTCTCTTCTTCATTCAACCAGACTGCCTTCAGTACTTCTGGTGTTACCTCCACATCTTGACCCTGCCTTTCATAGGTTACACCTAACGCCTACATCATAAACTCTTCAAGTTATCTATCACCTCTCTCACCCAAATCGCTTCCCTCAAGGAACGTTTCTCATAATCCTACAAAATGAGATATCACTCTATCAGACCCATCTTCGGGTTCCGCCCTTGTCTGTCCTGATGATATCAGGGGTTATTTTCTGCTCTCAGTGGCGACAGTCGCGCCGTCCACTGGGCTGTGCCTTTGACTATTCCAAATGTGAGTCACAAGTCACTATTCAGTGCTATGTCACAGCTGACTTTTGTCTCAATCCCGGACCTTCTATTCAAACCTCTGTCTTGGTGGACGACATAGACGGATACTTTCCAAAGTCTCCTGTTCAATTCCAGTGGACCATCGATCCTTTCCACCTTTAATGAGATACACAGACCATACCCGGGACTTGACCATCCGAAACCGGTGGTCAAATAGGGTGACACGCCATCTACGGTCCACTTCAAGCTTTTAGCGGCTTTCGAGCCCTCCACGACCTCAATGCGATGTCTCATGACATGGTCACCTAGCTCTTCAGGTGTAATACCATGGCTATATGTTTTGCTTTCAGACAGGATAGTGTGAGATCTACCAAACTCCTACAACTTTAGTTGTGGCTACAAAGCTGGGCTGCCAACCGTTCGGTGACTCTAGCGGTTCCTCACCTTCTCGGACAATGTAACGGCAACGGTCTTGTCCTGGTTGGGACAACCTAATCCTATAGGTAGAGGCTCGGGTCGGATTAAACCCTCCATAGGTAAAGGTGAAAGGTTTTTTCCCTGATACCAAGTCCAGTGGTGTC